AACTCTAACCAAGACTTAGGGAAAATGGACTAAAATTATGTCTTTCCAGAGATTATCTCAGGAGGCCTGGGCTTTGAAATTACCAATCAGTTCTTCGTGTTCAGTTATAACTTTACAGTGATAGACTAAATGCATCCATGTTTTCCTAATGTTTGTTTGTTTATTTTTTCTCAGCAGGATAAAGTTTTCCTCATGTTCATCATCTAACCTTTAAAGTGCCGGAACACTTTGTCTCTTGTTTGTTTTGCCTCATTCCACCTTTGTATGTGAAAGTCTTAACCACTTTTTACAGAGTCCAAACATGCTCTTTATTGCCTTAATGGAGGTATAATTATAACGTATGACATTCCACCACCATGTGATTTAGGATCAGCTTCCTCTGAAACTTTTGTGTTTACGCTTCCACACCACCAGAGCATACTGGAAGCTCACTTCTGCTCTCCAACCAGTGACCCCTGACTAGACTGAGCAGGTAAAGCCTGAACATTTGAATTAACACTGACAAGCAGAACAAATTGGGTCAGAAATGAAAGAAATATTACCAACAGATGTTTATTTAACAGGTTTAATACCCCTTTGCCTAACGTTCCACAGGTGGCTTTTACGAAAACTGAACCAGGAATGACCCTTCTAACATGAGTATGACAAACAACTTCTAATAAAGGGCCACACATTCAGGAAAACAGATGGGATGCAAATGATTTTCTGCAGGATGGAAAACAAAGAAAAATGAACAAAAGTTTCTGTCGAGTCAGAAAATGTGAGGCTGTCTGTGACTGATTTAGTCAGATTGCAACACAAGATTAAATGTTGAAAACAGCCAACAGATGGATAAATATTAGATTTAATAGTTTCCAATAACTGTAAAACATCATAATTTTAAGCAAAGGCACAAATTTTATCATTATGAATGATCTTAATCAATAATTGTAAATTGATACATTCTAAGCAGAAGCAGAAGCCTTAACTTTCCCATTAAGCTCATGAATGCCACATTCAGAAAAAATTAGATATACCCTACTTTTTTTCTATAATGTTTATCAACTATTAATTACTAAACTAAACTTATAAATATGGTAAACCTGTTGTGTTCAGGTCACTGGTATCTTACAGGCCTGACAAAAACAAACCTACATCTACAATTAGACTTCAGATTAATGTTCTTAACTCTACAGCAGCTCCTTTACTGGTTATTATACTTTTTCAGTCATACTTTTTGTTTTAAATTCACTTCAGTGCTGCAGGCTTGGTTTCAGTAGTTTCTGGCAGTTTTTTTGTTGTTTTATATTGTTTCTGCTCTCAGATCTTAACAAGAAAGGGTTGAACTACATTGCACTGAGTGAAGGGTCAAAACCTTGTTGAAAAAAAGCAACTTTGCTTTAATGCTTTTTAATGTTTACCTCAACCAGAAGCTCCATATTATACTGGCCAGATTCTAAACACTTTATTTCTTGGATCCAATGTGCTAGAATAAATATGAGGTCCTCCAATTAGTGTTTCACAACTAAAGGAGAAAAGGTTTTTGTTTGAAAATGAAAACTTTCAACCTTTTAACCTTGTGCTGGAAATTGTACCCCCATTACATTAAATACTGAAAAGAAAATCAGTTACCAGTAAAATAACTTGAAATTGACATAAGTAATAATAAAAAACAATGTAAAAAATAGAAATTATTACCTTGATTTTGAATATATATACATATACATATATATATATGTGTATATATATATGTGTATATATATATATATATATATATATATATATATATATATATGCACCTGCACACTCTTGGTTCAGTGCTAATGAGCAAGGTACTGTAATTTGTCTGGGAAAGCTTGTTTTTTTAGAAATACTTTTTGTAATAAAAATTCAAAATCAATATTTAATTTGACTAATTTATCCTTTATTTACTTCTTCATTTTTTTTTTTTTATTAGAAGTATAAGTGTGAATTTTTCATTTTCTTTAATGGCAAGGTATGTAAACTTTCAAGCACAACTTTGCACAAAAGGCTTAATGCAATGCTTTTTGCTTTGTGCTTCATCACTTAGGGTTTATCTTCTTTAAAGGTATTTTCCATGGATTTATTGCAAGGTGGAGGTTTGTGTTTTTAAGCCAACATTGTGGAGGGGTTATGTTCTTATCTCAGTCCCAGCAGATATTTGTGAAAATGTGGTTAATTTCTTATCACATCTCATATTTTATATTCTGAGCTCAACCTTTTCTGTAAGGAAGACTTAAAAACAACAGGTCAACGAGTAATCCAAAACTAAATGAAAGCAGATGGTTTAATCTCTTGTGTGAGGAAGTGATTCCTGCATTTAGTCAAAGAGCATGTTTGCACTATTTGGCGTTAACATTCCTTAACTGAGTGGAACTGCACCCTGTACCTAATCTATCAATGCCGCTGTGTTCAGTGGTGGTTTAATTTCTAGGGTCTGGAGAGGGTCAGGCTCCCTGCTGGGTAGCCCCTTGTTACATTTGCTTGAATACTTCTAGGAGTATTTTTTACTGTACCATGCGTTGTATTTTATTGTGAATTAAACTGCTTTATATTGAATTCATGTTAATTAATGTTTTGAGTAGGCATTTTTTGCTTTCTACTCACCTCTGCTGATCTGACTGAGAACAGTTACCAGACATCACTGCCTAAATTCTGCAGAGGTATGGACCATCTGACCTCAGGTGACTAGAGGTCAGCGGATGAAGTGAGTGTTGCAGGAAACGTGCCCCAGCACTCATCTGCCTGTAGGCTCTGTTCAGCTGTTACAGTTGGTTTTTCACTTTAATTTATCAGAGCGCCTGGCAGGGATGATAATTGGAGTGCAGTCATGCCAGAAACAAGATTTTTCTTGCTTGGGTGTAGCTGTTGGCTACCAAAGCGAATGCCAAAGGCCTGTTATCACAAACACATATAATCTGTTAGTGAGGCGTGCAAAGGTGAAACACTAGCTTTTGAGGTTGGTGTCTAAGTAAGTAAAGGTGCATTTCAAACGATAAATGGTTGAGAGCTTAAAAGTGTGGATCTGTGTTGAAATTAGCAAAGATAAATGTACTGATTTCAGAGACTGTTTGTCGTTGAGTCACCTGGCAGCCTGAGAGGCAAAAGAACATTTAGATCTCCCTAAAGATTTTATGTGACTTGTGGTGATATTAATGCTTTTGGTGCAATAAGGCAGATAATCTTGAGGTGGGGTTTAAAGATTAGGGTGATTCCCCATGGGCCTTCCTTCCTTAGGCCTGGATCCCATCTCCATAAAATATATATATTTTATTTCCAAAGCTGAGGCTCCTGATTATTTCATTATTGGTTGAATGATCTCATTTAATTCCCCTAGTGAACTTCTTGGTTGAATAAAAATAATGCACAAAAGTCTAAGTCTGTCTAATAATCAGTTTATGGTAAAAATGAAGATCAAAACCTTCTAATATGATTAAAAGATTTAGGCTTAAATCTAATAAAGCATAAAGCATTTTCATCCAAAATATTTAATATTCTTTGTTGTTACTTTGAAAATGACTCTGTTGAAGATCAATTACAGATGTATTGAAGTCAGCTGTGGTTGAAATATTACTGTAAAGCATTTTGTTTTTTGTTAGGCGCTATAATTATTGAAATATTGTCATGTTTAGGTTAGATCTTTTAGATTTTTAAAGAAAACTGATAAAAAGAAAAAGAGTTCCTTAATTCAACCAGGGACAGAAAAAGACATTCATATTCAAATCTGATCTGAAACATACAAATTCATAAAGTGCAGACTAACTTTTAATTTATTTACTTGCTAAATAATCATTGTATGAGCTGTGGGTATATTTAGATGGAAATAATCTTGGAAATGTTTCAAAGTAGATTTAAAATGTATCATAGCACTGAATCTGCTCTTTTAAGAGTTTTTAATGATTTTTTTTGGTAGTGGATTCTGTTAGTGTTGTAGTGTTGATTTTGGATTTGACAGCTGCTTTTGACGCAGTGGACCAGCACACCTCACTAACAGGAGTCATGTTGGACAATTGAACCTCTGTTTCAGCCTCTTGGTCCTCTTCTGATTGCTTTCTATATATTGCCATGGTATTTTTAGGAAGCGTCTTCTGGCATTTCATTTCAATGCCGATGACAGCCAAGTTGATTTTTCTTTAAAACATAAAGGTTTTGTTCAACCTTTGCTTGATTCTCTAAATCACATCAGGATATAGTAGGTCTGCATTTTCTTAGTTTTAATTAAAAGAAGACAGGTCAGGCATTTTTAAATCCAGTCATCCAAAAGAATTATCATCTTGTCTACAAGTCATCTTGAAATTTTGGTTTTAAATGGTAAAAAAGCATGGATACAACTCTGGTTTTGCTATCCCTCCACTGAATTCCCGTTAAGTTTTGTTTCCAATCCATTTTTTTTATTATTAAAAATGTCCTTTGCTTTAAGTGTCAAATGGGCTGACCTCTTTCTATTTAGCTGAACTGCTCCATCCCTACATGCCTTGTAGTTTGCATGTTTTAGATCAGCAAACCAGCTGCTTCTCTCTGTCCCAGTGTCTCATTATAAACTCATAGGAGACGTAGCTTTTGTGGTTCTGGCTCCTGAAACTACCACTGGTAATCATGCCCCCTCCATCTTTAAATGCTTTTAAATTACATTTGAAAACACAAGTTTTCTGTTTCTGGTCTTCAAATATAGTCCTTTTTTTCTTTTGTTTAGTTTATAGTGTATTTTATGTTTATATATCTATAACTACGTGTTCTGTACAGCAGTTTGGTCAGCTTTCGTGTTGTTGTTTTTTTGCTTTAGAAATAAAATGCCAGATATTCTAATATTCCTAGTAGATGATTGGTAGCCCTGTAGTTTGGATGAAATATTTCATCAAAGTTGGTTGGAAATAAGGTTAGTTTTTCCCACTGCTTTCTCTCAGCAGGTAGAAGTATGCAGGCTGAGTGTAACCATGGGCGCTAGGACCATGGGGAGGGTCTGTGTAAGGGGTGAAACTCACTGGTGGTCAGAGCAGAGCGTTTAGATGCGCCTCTGTGTGATTGAGCTGTGCAGCCAGAAGCGGAGCTGCGCTTATTCACTGCACACCTGGCGCTTTATTTGCACACAAAAGAGAAAGGAAGAGTTATCTTTCAGAGAAAGAAAGAGAGATGATATAAAAGAGGAGGGGGAGCTACCTGAGATAATGAGGGAGCCCTGGAGAAATGATCCTGATGGGGAAGGAAACCTGACTGGGATCTAAACGCGGAGCAGCAGCCTCTGATCAGGAGGTAAGGATCCAAATTCAACCTTTTTCTTAAAATATCACCAAAAAGTTTCTGCTCAAATGTCAGTGAATGGTCGAATGTTGACTAAAATCTCACATATTAAAAAGGGGGAATGAAAATATACAAAAAACAGATACATTCATATGGTTTGGTTGTAATAGTTTGTTTATTTTGCATTAATAGACAAACTGAGCTTCTTCTCAAGATAGTAAATACAGCTTTAGTATTATTAACTAGATGTTTTTTCCATCTTTAACTACAGTTTCTGTGGTACAGATCAGATCAGATTTATCAGAAGTAACCTATTCCTAAAATATTTTATAAAAGTCTAATGAATACCTCTTTCCTGTGAGTTCAAAGACACCTGCTCTAGTTTTAAACAGTTTTTAACTTTCTCCTTAACTACAACCTAAATCTAACACCATCTCTACCACTATTGTATAGGTGAGGAGTTATGTGTATATATATATTTCTATTTACATATTTAATTCTCAGCTAACATGGCTGAAAACTGAAGGGAAATCTTTCTTGCCTTGTTTTGAGGGTTGTGTGGGGCAGCTCATAGGTGTGTGGACGTGCCCCACCCTGTCTTGTTTAGGAAGTAATGATCAGGGTTGCCGCCCTGCCTCAACTTGCTGCTTTTTACCTTTCTGCTGCAGTAAAGCCATGAGAGCCCAGGGATCCACACTCTGGAGAGCGGATCCAGTGTCTCCTTTTGTGCGCTGAAAGCCTCACTGTTAATGAATAGCACCCTTTTACCTCTGAATGCCTGCTCAGGTCTTTATTACAGACTTTCCTCTGGAATTTGTTCATTACTCGTTGAGCCAAACACACATTAAAACACTTGTTTGCCTCCATCTGGATGAAATCCTATTATCTTTGTAAGCTATATGGTAGGGACAAAAGGGTCATTGTTGTCTCGGGACTCAGAGTTCAGGCTTGGATTGCAACGTTCAAATGCAGGCGCTGCACCTATTTATGGAGATTAACAATAAACTGAGAATGCAGTTCTTTGCTGAGTATATATATCAGTCGAACTTTTTTTTTCATCTTGCAATGATGAATAATTTTCAGTAAAGAAAGGCATAAAATGATAAATTATAGTCTGTTAGAGGACTGATTGTCTGAATCATAAATGTTTTTTATAGACCCAACACACACACACACATGCACACACTTTTTCCTTCCACTGAACTTTTCTTTTATATGCTTAGATGCTTATATTCTCCTTAAACAACCAGCTCATTAACTCTTTTTTTTTTTTTTTTTTTAACATAGGGTTTGTTTCTGCTGTTATTTACAGTGGTTACAGAGCGAGTTCCCTCATATGTTTCTCTCTCTTCAGAGTTTTCCACAATGATGCTACGTGAGATCACCATCTCAACTCACCTACTTCTGCTCCTCCAGCACTTCGCCCCCCTTACCCTGTCTCTCCTCCAGCCTCCTTACCATCCACCTATGCACGTGCCCACCCTGGTCCCCCATGCCCCGACACCTCTGACCCCGTCCCGTTTCAGTGCAGAAGCCCGGCTGGACTTCACCACACACTGCAACTCCAGTTGCTTCCACAGAGGCGAGCAGGAGAAGAAGGAGCAGCTGACGGACAAACTGGCCTTTGAGACGCTGTACGCAGACGGCTTCCGGACCCTCACCACGGTGGAGGTGGAGGATGATATTGTTGATGCTCTTCACCCGACTCATTTGCCTTCCTGGAGAAGAAAGAGAATAAAACACAGACGGATGAAGAGGCAGATTTATGGAGCAGATGGTCGTTTTAACATCCAAGGTGACGACTTCCTGATGGATTATCCCTTCTCCACCGCTGTGCGCATCTCTACTGGCTGTACGGGTGTCCTGGTGTCTCAGCGACATGTCCTGACTGCTGCTCACTGTGTGCATGATGGGAAGGATTATGTTCATGGAGCGAAAAAGCTCAGGGTGGGATTCCTGATCCCTCCGTCTATCAATGGCACCAAAGCTGGACTGACCCCCAACAAGAAGCCTCCGGTCCGCTGGGTTCGGGTGAAACGTACCCGGGTACCAAAGGGTTGGATCCAGGGCCCTCAGGAGGTCAGCATGGACTTTGACTACGCTCTCCTGGAGCTGCGCTGGCCTCACCGCCGTCCCTTCATGCGGCTCTCTGTTGCTCCCTCTTCAGATGACCTTGCAGGAAATCGCATCCACTTCTCTGGGTTTGACAGCGACCGCCCTGGGGAGCTGGTGTACAGGTTCTGTCCTGTGGAGGAGGAGTCCAGCGACCTAATATACCAGCACTGCGACGCCCGACCTGGAGCCAGCGGCTCTGGTGTGTACGGACGGGTATGGGACAACACTTTGGAGCGTTGGGAAAGGAAGGTGATTGGGATTTTCTCTGGACATCAGTGGCTGGAGATAGATGGTGAGAACAGGGATTACAACGTAGCTGTTCGCATCACACCCCTGAAGTTTGCCCAGATCTGTTACTGGGTGCACGGAAACCGCCTAGACTGCAGCCCGGACTAAAAAAAAAAAGGTGCACAAACTTATTACAACAACATACTGGGTAAAATTTCTCTATTCCTTACATCTGCAAACATCTGCAGGACACAGAACTTATTTCCTTTAAGGGCTCTGTTCTTTAAACCAGTAAAAAATACAAAAACTCTTCACATTTTTCCCCCTCCTGTATTTAATTGGCTCCCTGTAACCTCTGCGCCCGTTAAATAAATATGTCAGTGAGATCATCATAGCTGTTTTTCCTTTTCTTTTAAACCCTCCATTAAATTAATCTCAGTAAGGGAAATCCACTTTCTTCTCATGCATCAGTAGGAGCAGCCCTACTGATCATTATTGTAATCTACTGAGGCTAAATTATTATCTCCCCAGCTCTTTCATCTTTGGTGATTTTGGCAAAACTCCATTCATACTAAAACTCATTGCTCTCCCTCCTGCAAACAACTGAAAATGTAAATAAACAATAGACCTGCTTTTAAGATTTCAGATGGAACTATAGACCTCTCATAGTTGAGAGGAGACAGAATGTTAATTTTATTTTTTGGAGAAATGCTTGATATATTTTAATAAACAGAGATTTAAGTGTTTGTGTGGAGTCATCTTTTTAAAGGCAGTGTTAGGCTGCCCTCCTGTGGTCATGATATGCAGCTCTCCACTCATAGGTGGATATACTGGGGTGGCATAGGGTGGCAAATGCCACCCTAAATGACAGCCTTGCCACCCCTGCTGCCACCCCAGTTGGCTGTAGGGGTGGCGAGGCTTATAAATTATTATTATTATGGATAATTTGAGAATTGCGACCGCTAATTTCCAATGTCGGACTGCAGTGAATGCAGCACGAGATGACGCGAGAGCGACTGAGACTGATTGTTTTGAAAACCGAATGGGGCAAAGCGAGGGAGCCAGGGGTGATGGGGAGAGGAGACACGGGACGGAACAGGTAAAAACTGATTAACTATCTATCGAGAAATTAAATCATAATGAAAGCACAATGTTGCTCGCATAGCTGCAATGCTGATTTACAGATGATAAAAATAAGGTTGCAGAACGTTATTTCTCTATCTATGATGTTAGTTAGGCCTGACGTCTCAGGCTCATAAAGACATATTTGCGGTCAACTATGACAGAAAAGACACTATCAGTCTGGTTGTACTCAAATCAAAACGCACAAAGGCATTGGATCTAAATAAGGTTGTGATGCGTTTTGCTGAGCAATATGGAAATCACTGCATTCAGCTGTTATAGTCATGTCAACTTTATGTTATGCTCTCTGGTGAGCCTTTACAGAGCTGTTACATTTTGTTTTGGCACCTGAGAAAATCTGATATTTCCTTTAATAAAACCAGAAGTGTTAAAAGTAAAGTTAAAAATGTGATACTGGTTTAAATCCTGTTTAACACGAAGCAGTGTTGTTGTTTCTTTTTTTTTTGTATATATAGTATGAAACTATCCAGAAATGACCTGTATGAACCTAATCACAAAATGTTTTGTACTTTTACAGGAAGCAAAATGTATTTTTATGTTGCTTCTTTTCAGATTTGTGGAGATTTTGCTGTAACATACAGTACCTGCCTTTTGTTGATTTGTTGATACAGCAGCTCTATCTACAGCATATTTACATGTATGAAATGTCCCTTTCATGTTGCCTTAACTGCTGTATGTCAAGTTACTGAGGAACAAATGGGTAAATGTGTTTTCAGAGTAAACAATACATAGATGTCCAGTACCTTGTTTGGGTGCCTTGACCCTTTTATTTCTACTGTGTAGTTCTGCTCACTATAGTACAGCTCAGTCCATAGATCTATGATGGGAAACTTTTTCTTTCTATAGTTTCTTCTTGTGCAAATGCTGCAAAGCTGCCTCTCTGACAGTCAATCTCTCACATCTGCGACTCAGCACCTGTGTCTTACCTTAATAACTTTCCTGTGATAAGGCCCCTCTAGAAGTAGTGTTATCATTCTTCTATCTCCTATTAAGTGAGATCACATTGTATGATGTATTTCTAATATGAACTGCTTCACATGAAACACTAGTACTGTACATACTATTATCACCAAACTGTGATAACTGTGATTAAATTCAGTGTAAACAAATACCATATGTTGCCACCCCTCAAAAATTCCTGCCCCCCTCTCGCCACCCCATAAATATTTTTCTAGATCCGCCCCTGTCTCCACTATAAACCCTGACCATTGGTGAGTTTTAAAGAATGCTGCCCTCTGCAGGGTTACCACATTTTAAAAGAATAATTAGACACAATCAGCCCTAATGTTAAAGATCAGATTTAGTTTCTTGATGCAGCAGTCTGACCTCAGATCTTCTAAAGAGCTTTAAGAAGTTGGACGTGAATCCTCTTGCTGATGTATTCCTTGGATCAGCATCAGTTTTCCTACCAGTCTGACTTGAGGTAGACGAACCTGGGAGCAGCTATGGCGCTGTCCCAGTGGACACTGATTTACTGGCTTCCTGCAGAATGTGAGGACATTTTGCAGTATAGCAGTTCTACAGGGAAGTGTGCTGGCACCTCTCCCGTTATATTAAACGCTAACTTCAATAAATCTCAGATTTTTCCATATTCAGCCTCATCACTGGCTGTTGGAGCATAACACCTGAAGCTGGTGGTGGACGAAACCACTGATCAAACAGGGACTGATGTTTTGATAAACTATTAGAAGTATTCCTGTGACTAACATCAATCCTCTGCCTCTTTAAAGAGGCATTTTACTTTGGAGGCAGTCATCTGTGGTGTAGTTTGCTGTAGCAGCAGCATATCTACAGCTGAGAGATCATGATCCATCATGTCCAAGGATGCATTATTTACAAAGTAGAGGTTGAAGAAATACCATGGTTGAATGTCTCCCATCTTGTGCAAATGCTGTTGCAGAGCTGAAAGCCTCACTTACAAACTGCTGCACAAAGAAACAGACTGATGGTGAAGTAGATGCAGGGAAATACAGTATTGCATCTATTTGTGGGCCAGCTCAAAGCCGTTATATTTAATATACTTATATCTATTTACCAAATGATAAATTAAAAGGGTTTAGATATATATTTTCTATTTTGGTTTTTACAATACCTGAATGAGCTCATGTTGGACTAAATAAACATATTTGGTTTTGAACCCTCCGCTATGCTGCCTTCTTCCATGAAATAGCTAGCTAATCAGGGCGGCAGCCACCAAAGAAAATGCCTTTTTTTTGGATCCAGTCCAGCCCTGGTATGGGTGAATTAGAATGGATGGATGGAGAAATAATGAGGGATTGATAAACAGCTGGACAATAGGTGGTTTAATGATTGGATGCTCTTTTTATATAAATAGCTTACCCAGAAAACTATTTATACCCACGAACATAGAAACCCTGTTGATGGGACACTTGCTGCACATTGAAGTACTTTTTATTGTATACCCAATGATTCCACCAAGACAAAAAAATAAAACATGACCCCTGAATCTAGAGCTTAAAAAGACAAGTAGTGAGTAGTTTAGTGCTTTTTATTAGAGATAAGGAGACGATACAAAACATCCACCCTTCATTTTTCAGTCTCAAACACAGACTGCTCGTCCTTCTTTTACACATCGCTCCCCATCAGACCATCATCAACACCGGAAGTTTTTAAAACCAGGAAATCTTTGTTTTAACAAGTACAAGGAATGTTATGTTTACTACAACAAATGCCAAGTTCTCAGACACAACAGGAAATAAAAAGGAATCACTCAAGTTTTTCGGAATTGCATGTTCAAACAACAACAAAAAACAAACAATATATTTAACCGTGCCCCCCCCCCCCAGAGGTTTTCATACGTCTTGTGCAAACAAGATGAATTAGTTCATACTATACCTAACCTCAACTACACTCAAAACTTAACTGGAAGTTTGGCAAACAAAAAACAGGTATGTAGTGGGAGCACTTTATGATTTGATGGTTGAAAAAACTAAAAAGGTTGTCATCTGTCTGGAGTATCTCAAGTGGAACCTGAAAAGAACAAAACCCTGTCCTTAAATGTGAATAAGTGCATTTAAATTTCTTCATCCATCGTTTGTATCTAGGTGTGTTTTGTTCTTAATCCTTATGCTGCATGAACTTGAACAACAGTCTGCCTGTTTTTATTTTCATTTGTCAGTTTAACCCAATAGCCCACCCACTGTATCCCTCCCCGAATGTCCCACGAATGATGCTGGCTTTGCTTATACCCATTTCTCCACACCAGACTGGAATGAACAGCTAAACCCAACAGATGTGTCTGAGAGGCTTCGATTGAAGCCGGAGCAGAGGAGAGTCATATTTATATAGGAGATCCTTCCAGGGTGACTACTGATGAGCCGCCGAGCTTCTCTGCCAGAGTGTGTCGGTCTTTGAGGTCTTCCAAACCGTTCACCTGCCACTCGTGCTTAATGCCTGAAATAAACAAAGTAAAAGAATAGAGATTAGTCAAACATAGGGGAGGGACACCTGCTCAGTTGTAATAAAGAAGAATGGCACATTCTAACCCCAAAATCCCACATCCTCCATTACCGCCCCGGCATATAAAAAAATCCAGCATCCAGCATGTGTGCAGTTTCTGCCCAAATATTTTCCTCTTGTTGTGGATTTTTGAACAGGAATAACTGGTTTGTATAAACTATGTTCTCTACTTCCAAAATCAGCATCTCTTCATCCATGCCTAAAAAAAGAAGTTGCTTTTGAAGTTGTAAGATGGGCTCGTAGAAGTTTTACATGGATTTAATTTTTAACTTTTAAGCCTCTTAGTATAAAATAAATAATTTGATGGAGATAAGAAATCTGCTTCCTGTTACAATGAAGTACCAATGGTTTGCATCCAATCATTTCATTCAACGCTCTTAGGTTTTGGGAATATATCAGAATTATGCTCTAATTTGTAGTTACCGATCTGTCGTTACAATATTTTAATTTGACAAAGAGGATCTTATCGTTCTTTTTCCTGTGCGATGTGATTGCAATTGCAGATCTTGACCTGGCCGGACCGGAGCGGCGCAAAAAAAGCCCTGGCTCCGTATTTTGACGGCGACGGACAGAGAAGACATACACGGACGGTGACATGCGAAAGAGGAGTGGTGGATGTGGAACATTTCTCATCGATTAACATGAAAGACAAGTACTCCACACGACGTACGTGCGCTGATGGAGTATGTGGGGGTGAGGAATTATGACATTTTGAATTCGCCTGCTAACAAATACACCAGTCCATCTAATAACTAGTTGATTGGCTCCAACTGTAGCTTAAAACTGAAATACTGCACACCATCCACCAGTAGTATTCACTGACTTACCAGGCGAGTGTACAATTCTTTGTGTGCCAGTTTACAGATCTAATCTACATGCATCCAACAAATGCATAATTGTTAGAGAGGAGATGCTGAAGTAAAAGCATTGCTATGTGTGTTGATGTTTTCTAATAGTTTCAGAAACCGATGATTGCACAGGACAGGAAGGAGGAAGCTACATGGTGTCTCCAAGTAAAATTCCAATATGGTGCACTCTTACTAGGAGAGACCGGATCAGGCCTTCATGCATATCAAAATCTAAATATGGATCCAGTCAAAACTTAAGCAGCTGCTAGCTTCAGCCACCAGAATGTTAACAGGTGATCCATTTTATTGCGTTTTATTACCTAGGACGGTTGTTTCATAGGGATGCACTGAAATTAAATTGTTTTCCAAAACCAAAAATAAATAAATAAATAAATAAATATATAGGAAGCTAAGGTAGAAAACCAAAGCACTGAATTAAAAAATACCAAATATTAGGGGCTTAGTATTTTTGGCTGTGTACTAACGCCCTGAAAAACTCATTTATAAACTCATGGCATTTCAATAAATCGGTTATCAAAATATTTATTTACCACAGATATATTTCTGTTATCCCCTTCGCTTTGGCAGAATCAATGGAAAACTTTCTTGCCTTTTCAAACATGTCTGCCACAGACGCAGTAGATGGGTTTCTCAAAATCAGAATGTCAAAACTCTGAGTAGGAAATGTTAACTGAAATTTTTCCTCGAAGTTGGAATTTCGAGTCCAAAAGTTTGGGCAAGATACCCATACCAGACTCCTGGATTAATGATGGCTGCTGCTCACATTAAAAGTCAATAAACATTCTTATTTTGATAACTTCAAGCTCGAAATTCTTATTTATGTGACATTTAGTCAGTCTTATGTCTACTTCTCTTTACGTTATATGTTTCAACACATTTTAAATGCATTCAAGGGATTGCATTCGAGTCAATTCAATCAACTGGTTATCATTAGATAGAAAACTTTGAATCAATTTGACTATATGATCTGGTGAACTGTAAAGTGTCTTGAGATGACACAGTTTGTGAATTAGCGTTATATAAATAAACTCAATTGAAATTAAAGTACTACAGAACAGTCGCCATGTACATAAAATGGAACATTCAGGCCTCCACAGGCAGGACACTGGAACACCTCAGACATTGCGTCACCCCAACTTCCTGTTTCCAAAGTAAATCAAACGCACGCTCCAATCCCACCACGAATTTAGAATCACATACTAACCCATCACACTTTTCAAACAGAGACCATCAAAACAGGCGCAGAGTTTAACAAACCTCACAAAAAGTCCTGCAGCACTACAGAAATAAATCTGCCTCACCCCTTCAACAGATTTTGAATGGATACATTTATGCCACCCAAATACTCACCTTCAAATTTCCTCTTAATAGCATCTTTTGAGCTTGCATAGATCATCTTGCTCTTCAGAGGAGCACTGTCCGGTGCCCTGGAAGAGAAATATTGAAGCTTAAATCCACCTCCAATTAGAGAATTAAGCCGCTTGTACAATAACACTGATCCTCACCAGAACATAAAGACCAAGTCCTCTTTCTTTGTTTCTTTGGTCTCGTAGGTGGCGTCGTACAGGGCATAACGGCAGTCGTCTGGGGGCAGCATCTTCACAAATTCCTGGTATGGGTCTTTGACGGTGTTTCCAATGTCACCCAGCAGGATCTCTTTCCCCTCATCCAGCACTATGTTCTTCAGGTCTTTGCTCAGGCAGAACAGAACAGCCTTCTTCCTCTTCCTTTTCTCCTCCTCGTTAGCCTGAGCCTTACGGACCTTCATGTCATTGAAGATAGCGATGACTTCATCTGTGACTTTCACACCGGAGGCCTGGATAAAAAGCAAACCTTTAGACAGGGGCCAATAGGAAACATATTTACAGCTAAATAAGGGTTACCTCATCTAATTCATGTTTTTGTAAATCAGGGGGACACATACACCCCCTCCCCAACAAAAGACGGAAACAAAGCCAAACATTTCAATAATGGTAAAATTTGAGTCAGACTTACTAGCAAGATTATTGATACGCAGCAGTTTTTATTTGTTAATGTCATCTAGTCTTGGAGAGAAAAATACGATAAAAGGACTCAACATTGGCAGGTTGGACTTCAAAAGATAATTAGAAACTGGTATTTAAAAAAGTTATGTACACTATTGCTAGTAAAATGGACACATTTGACCAATTCTCAGGTTGTAAAAAATAGAAAACCGGCCAAATTTGTCCTCAAGTAAAAAAATCTAAGTATATCTGCTTTGATGCATGGCCAGGGTATAATTGCTCACTCATTTTTTAAAACTAGAATTAAATCCAAATTAAAGAACCTGCATTTTGCAATTTATTTCTGATCTATGATTTTAAATGAATTTTACAAAAATCAAAAAGATATAAATACTTTCACTAATAAAATAAAAATCCCCCTGAATTAAAACTAGGATTACAATTAAAAAGAAAACAAGAAACCTTTGTCAGGCATTTAGAAGCCTAAAAAGATTTTATAAAATTTTACAAATGGTATGGTTTAAATACTATTCTGACTGCAGGGACTATGGGAGGGTTTGGTGACGATATAATCCAGTCATATAAAACTATTTCTTAATCTTTTGAATGCAAGAGGCTTGAGACTGATTTTGTGACAAGTAAAAAAAAAAAACAGCTGCTTTAGTTTTACATATGCCAGCTGTGACTACTTAAGTCTACTGATCGCAGAAACAATGGAGCTGAGGAACCTGAGAGGGCAGCATGTGACTCATCACACAGCAAGAACTCTTCCAATGGCAGCGACTGATAAGATGGACTGAAGCGCCAAAGGTGTGGTCGTGACAAGCCGTTAACGGGCTTAGATAGAACTGACTTAGAAGAAGCAACCTGAAAACGATCCAAAGTGTAATAAAGGTGACTCAATCAATAATAAACAAACGTCTGCTAAAGGGGATAATTTAACACATAAATATGGCAAATCCTGCAGGTACAAAATCCATCTTCTCTCGCTCCTCAATAAAGTGATGGGTGTGTCTTGAGTGTGTGACTCATTAGACCAGCAGGTATAAAACATTGCATAAACTCCTTTGTGACAGGAGTTATACATTCCCGCAATAAAGATGACCATGTGGGTGAGGCTGCAGTCAGGAATTAAGCATTCCAGTGTGGAGCTCAGTCTAAAAAAACCAAGCAGAATCAAACAATAAAACCTCTGTTTGAGAACAGAATTCAAATTAAGTCACATTGCCAAGTCACAAATGGCCCATGAATTCACTCAAGTCTTCTGACTCTGTTTAGACCACTTTATCTAGAAGAAAAAAAAGAAAAAAGAAAAAAAAAACGCTGTCTCAGGCATAAAACCCATCATCTACCAACACATCTGTGAAAAAAAAAACACAATGAAGAGGAAGTAGGCCAGGAAAGACGGGAAAAGAGGACAAGCATACCCCTGTGTTTGCTCAGTGTGTTAAACGGCTGTCTGAGATAACAGGAGGAATCATTAACCAACAGACATCTGAAAGCCTCAAGTTAATAACGGAGTTTTTTTCTGAAAATTTGTTACATGATTCTTGTGTAGCTATGCCTCTTTTTAGGAAAGCATTTACTGAACACCATAAGGGGGCTAAGAAAACAACATGTTAATCACACCTTTCCCATGGGGTTATTTTTTAGTTTCCTTTTTCTCTCCCTTTGTTGCCTTGTCAGTTTCCAGCATTTTCTTATGTGCTTCATAGCAACAGAACATTGCTCAGCTGTTGGTAGACAGCAGGGAGACAGATGATGAGGGGAAAAAAAAGGTCCCCCTACACATCTTCACCACATACTTTATCTAATCTCAAGTATTTATAATGTTATTACACAATGCAATGTTCAATACCAACAGTCTTGTTCTGTAAAGACCTCATTCACCAGTTGTCAGATATGATCATTAAAATCAAGAGTGTGAGCACTAAACTGGCTTGTACTGTACATTTTTGTTTTAACTTCTCTTGTTTTGTTTTTTTGTGTTTTTATGCATTTGTGTGTCGTTACTAACCTCCCTCCCCCTTAATGCTAACACCTTTTAAAAGCCTAACCAGGGACAAAGGCTGCAAATAAGCCCATGGCTACAAGCCTTATGTACTTGGACATCGGCCACCTGTTTGGTTGCAATGTTTAATTGTACCGTCCCTGTCAAAAAAAAAAAAAAAAAAAAAAACACTTTACCCATCTGCCCCAGTTGGTCAAAAATCCATAAGTACATGCATGTTGCAAAAATCATCCAAATTTCTGCAACACAGTAATCAAGTAAACCAATGTGTTTTGATCCATTTGTATTAGGGCTTCAACTAAAAATTATTTGGGAAATCGATTCATTTGGTGATCATTTTTTCGACTGATAAAGTAATAATCTGATAGACAAAGGTTCGTTAAAGCAGATTTTTTACTAAATTAAGCCAGGCGAAACAAAAACGTTTTTGCTGGGGAGGCTGAATAGAGCATATTGATGGACGAAAAACTTTGTTTTTTTTCAAAAATACTAAATGTTTATATATTGTTTTACAATTTTTAATACAATTACTGCTCTAAATGCATTGCTCTCTCAGCTAACGGCAACTTTTAGAGTCTCTATACTCCAGTTAACGATTAATCGATAACTAAATTAGTTGTCGATTATTTCAATAATTGATTAATCCAATAATTGTTTCAGCTCTAATTTATATAATTAATGTGCATGTGGAAGGGGGGCTGTCGATATTGTTTTATTTCAGTGGCTCTCTGATCAAGGACCACAGTCAAGTGGAAAACAGGCCAATATCTAAAAAAAGTTATTGGTTAGTGAAAAACTAAACGTGCCTAAACAGCAAATAATAGGACATAATTCTGAAAATATAATACATTTAGAGGGGAAACAATCAGATTTTAAGCAAGGAAATGAATGTCAGGTTTTCCATAACGTCATTTTTCCACCTAAAAATAGAAAAAGGCCATAACTCCTTATTTTTAGGCCTGTGTAATATTCCTAGGATGTAATAAAGTATGTACTACATATCAACATCATCCATGCACCAGTAAGGGATAAAGGGGGGGAATACTCAGCCCCATCTTTAGCCTCAGATGCTCCACTGCATAAACAGACATAATCATGTCGGTCAGTGAAATGATGCGATGGGCCTTAAGGCTGGAAGCAGGATGCGCAGCTACAAAAACAAGATGCTTTTAGCCTCTGCTAACAGCGCATCCAGCTTTCCAAAAACTATTGGTACGCAACTCTCTTTTTTTTTAGTGCAACATTTAAGAAGGAAATTTGGAGAGCTGGAGAAAAACAGGCACCTGGAGAGAGAGAAAAAAAATAGCATGGGATTTTTACAGTGCCATTATAAAACGGCAGGAGACAAAATGGTCTTTGCACCAAATTCAGGGTGGGGCCATGAACACAGCCACGAGCGCTAGCTTGCTAAATAAGGCAAAACCGACCAAATTTATGTATTTTATTGGTTAAGTATTTTTACAAACACGCGAAATAAATCTATTTTAAAATCAAAATGATCAAATTGGTTGCTCTACGGTCCAAGCGTGACAGATAGTGAGAGTGGAGACTCAGTGGAAAGACAAAGAGGGAGGAAAATCTCAGCTAGCGCCAGTCATACCGACAGCTAGCTTCAGCTAACACCGCTGTAAAATCTATGAGGCGCCTCTGCACCTGCCAGCGAGGCGCGTGAAATAACTGAAACACGATGCAGCGCAGCGCCATGGCAACGCCGCGAACGTTACCTCAGACAATTCCCTGCGAAACCACCCAAGACAGACGAAATGGCGCCAGTTGTTTTACGAGAGTTGCTAGTTTATCTGCCTCCATTATAGACCATCCTGTGAGGGGGGGAAATTAATACTGCGCTGGTTGTGCCGTGAAGAAGATGTATTCGTAATAAATGTTGCCTTGTTAAGGGAAAATCATCCCTAGCTAAAACTAGATAGCTTAGCTCTTTAGATGCTAACCGTAGCTGCTGCAGCAGCTAACTGTTCTGACTTGTTTACTGATAAATCAACAAAACATGGGCAAACTGAAATATCGTAAAAATAAAAATCAACCACACCTGAACACTTAACGATATACAACTAGAGCAGCGACGCTATGTTAAAACGTGAATAAAGCCACGGTGAAAAGCCTACCATTGTTGTAGCTGGGAATCGTTGAGTGTCTGGAAGAAATTGAATGGAACGATGGACGAATGGACTTTATAGGCGGCGGGAGCGCGCATAGAAGCGCGTCCTCAGCTGGCTGGGGGCGTGCACGGCGCGCGAGCGCATAGCTTTGTCTGCAGTTTGATCTGTGATGTTTATTATACTGACAGAATGTATTAATTTTTATTTATTTATAGCTGTCTATAATAAAAAAATATTATATGCGTGTCACTTTTTAATGGCATTATGAGAATTCCCATTTTCTTCAATGGAAATTGAATCACTTATAGACCTGAGCAGAAAATTAATTTCAAGTAATTTTTTTTTTTTTTACATTATATAACCTTGCATTTGACACCCAATTACCCATTTTTAATAGACTACTAATGCTATATAATTCAAGCATTTATTCTGCAAAGTAAAAACGTTCAATTAATGTCCATTAATAGTTGAAGGGACCTCTCAGCTGACACACACAGGAGCATTTGGAGGAGGCAGGGTTTCCTTTATTGCCCCTCCTTTCTCCTCCCTCTTTGTGCCGTTTTCGTTGAGCTCACTTCCAAATATGGAAATCGAACGACGAGCGGCAGTCAGGTGCACGCGCCTCGCTCCCGACTCATGGGAGGAGGACCAAGCCACGGCGCCCAACACCATATAAGGAAACAAGGGACACGAAATTTGCTGCACGAGATTTTTTTTATGTGGAGCATCGCGTGGTGGTTGGGTGGGAGCGAGAGGATGAGAGGCAGATAGGGAGAGAGTTGGATGATGAGGGAATGGGATGACTCACTAAGATTAGATTTGTTCAAAGGATAAAACAACATAATAATGGCAGGGAGACTATCGATGTAGAAACATCCATTATAAAAATGATAAACCTTTAGCTAAGAAATGGTGAGCAGTCCTAGAGGACACTTATCCTAAGACTGATGGCAGAATAGTTGAGGTTCTTATGTATAGAAACTGAAAATCTAGTCATGTTTTCCAAGTTTTTTTGGCTATACTTTATTCCCAGTTTGTCAAGAAGAGCTCTTTTGTCCATGCATCAAATTTAGTTTAAAGTATTCTTTGTTTGTTTTTTTTTAAGATTACATCCTCCAAATTTCTTTTAACTACAACAATAACTAGTGATGTCAAAAATGTAATATTACTTTAATCAGACTAAAATAAATAATTAAGACAATTAAGGTTTATATCTCTTACTTTCTTCTTCTCTTAATGTCCAAACTGTATCGCTTTTTGTGTTTTTTATGCCTTTTTCCTCTTGAAGTAGCCTTTCAGAATCTACCAAGGTCTTTTGCTATTATGATTGATCAATTCAAATTCCGTATATCAACCTATAGACATATGATCCGGGTTTCTAATATTCTACCAAAGGATGCAGTAGTATGAGGAGAACATGTGATCTCACTCATTATTGCATTTACCAAAACAAACCAAAGACAGAAAGAGTTTAGTTCGGTTTTCAGGTCCCTTTTATAAGGTTATATTATCTCTAAAAAATAAATAAATAAATAAACAGGAGGATGAATCAAACGTAAACTGCAAAAAAGAAAGAGCAGCCTGAGCAGGTGCAGTATAACTGTCAAACTTTATTCTTTTTTATTCTTTATAAAAACAGCACTGTGGCAAACTCAGGGGAGATTGTTACACTTGCTGTTAACTACAATATTGCATGCATTTGTTTCCCACTTTTGGAATGAGCTGTGTGCAACAAGCACCAAAGAGGAGGCAAAGTGCAAAAACTAGTGTTTGTAAGACATCCACATGTTCCCTCCGCTTGTGGAAAAAAAAAGAAGAGAAATACAAAGAACACAGAGATGAAAACTCAACATTTCTAAAGTCACTTTTGGCCCAGCATATTTCACAAACAGGTTCATGCATTGACTCTTAGAAAACAGCTTTTTATCCAGATGTCTCTACTCTGTGTCCAAGTTCACTAACCTATGCTTAAGTGCATGTTGTGGCCGATGTTGTCACACACTAACCTGGATGTTTTCAAAATGCTAAATGCTTTCTGTTTCTCCAATCACTTTAAACTTACTGAACTTCATCCATTCATGGATGGGGAATATTGTTGCAAATAACAGCCCTTAAATCCACCACCAAATTCCTTCAGATTTGATGTACGAAATGTTGTATGGCCCCAAAACTAAGCAAGTTAATCTAGTTTAGGGTAAATGGAAAAAAGAATAGAGAAAAAAAATAAAAAATTAAGCATGGTTGGTCAAGCTGAAAAAGCAAAACAATCAAGCTGGCCTATATTAAACCACATGTAGAAAATTTGATGGTCTCATTTCAAACTTGCTAGATTTCTATTGGTTATTAGGATAGAGTAACCTTTTACAGAACAGCTTGAATATCATTTTTACGCAGAGAGAATATGAGCTATTTATAGGACATAATACAGATATATTAGTGTTGTTTTCCACCTCACCTGAAAGCTCAGATAACCTGTGAAAATAAACCCTGTATCAATGTTTGATGAAAGAATGATCATTTTCAATCACAACAATTAAAGACAATCAATTACTGATGGCTTGTTTTGTATTATTGTCGTTTTTTATTAAACATACTACCTTTAAGATTATGTATCTTGTATATTTACTGGAGTTTATTTCAGACTGTATGAAGCTGTAGAAGAAATAACAGTCCGATTTAAGCATATTGGAGTTAACTCTTTGGTTGGCTAATCATTTGTATCATCCTGTTTATTCTACACTGCTCAGTATATTTTTATCAAGAGTCTATCTAAAGCAGTTGTTGTGGAATGATTACAAAATGCTCTTAAAATCTGCAGCTTTAAGATATATTGAAAGTGCATTTTATTACAAGAAACGAAACAATTATACTGAAAATCTGCAAGGAGAACAGTATTTCGAAGCTATGAGTAACCAGGAAGAGATTGCTAAAAAAAAGAGCTATAGAAACACACATAAACATACAAGCTTTAAAGCTGCATTTTGAAGTGTTTTTAAGTCAAACTACACCAATGGCCCATGTCCTGTTGGTAAGACGAGAGACGTTGACGATAAAAAACTGAATGTTTCATTGTTTTCAATAAAGTTTAAAGGTAAACATGTACTTTTCGGTTAAGTCCGACTGTAAACGTGTAAAGAGGCTTTGGACCTGGACTGAAGCAGGCTGAGTGTTCTGCCTATCGGATGTGCTGGTGAGTCAGGAACGGGCTGTTGTTGCTCAGGGCCAACGTGGTAGAAGGATGATAAGGCTTTAGTGCTAAAAGTGTGCTTGTGTGGCGTGCTGTTTGTTTGGAATAGAGATCGTTTGGGTTCGGTCCTCTAGCTGGATTTCTTCTGGACACTGATGGGTGCCCCTCGTGACTTATTCAACATCACCGTAGCCTGAAACCAAACAGAGAAGACTGTTCATCAGATTCCACACAAAGTCAAAGATTTCACTGTCTCTACTCTGTGCAGCTCTAAATCAGAGGTAAAACAGTACAGATTTAATGGGAGTAAGAGTTTGTTTTTAAAAACATGAATAATATGATGGATTAGGTTATTCACATGTAGAATCTATTTACTAGTAAGGAACCATCAGAGAGGCGACATATAGTGCTGAATAAAAATGAATCCAACCCTTTTCTTTTTGTCTAAAGACCTTCTTTACCACTCAAATATACTCAATCACGCACATCTGTGGTCTGTTTCAGAAATCCGCAGAACATGAATTGGTGCTTTTGGCTCCTTTCGTGACAGAAGTGGGGGAAAAAAGTTGCTTATTTTGTCAAAATCCATGATGGCTGGATTGCATTTTGGCTCCTTTTGATAGCAAGTGCGCCCTCTATGGCTTCAAGGAGCATCAATTGAACTTATAAGAAAAAACATGCAGTTTTACATATAAATAGTCATTTAAAACAATCATCACTCTTTTTGTTCTCACCTGCTCTAAGACAACCCCAGCCGCCTGGTCAATGGCTCCGCCCACAGGCCGGTATTGACCAGAGTAGCGGATGAAGGCCCACACTAGCATCGCTATCATCAGCAGCCCCAGACCGCAGTCACAAACCAAGGCAAAGGTGGTCAGGCCGACAAAGAGCAACACACCCGAGAGCACGTAGAAGAGGCACATCAGCACAAAGAGAACCGCAGGAGTTCTGAAGGCGCTGAAGAGATTTTTAGCCTTTAAAAGCAAAACAGAAGGCAGGTAAATAAGCAGATAAAAAAACAGTACACCTCAGAATTTACAATATTCTTAGCTTCTTATAAGCAGTTCTGCCAAACATTTATCAAATGATTTTATGTTTTCTTGAAAGTTCTTTTGTTTTTTTGTCAAGTTTCTGACACATTTTATTTCTTTGACCATTAAACTATTAATCTATTAATCCTTCCAGCTAAACAGGATACTAATTTCAGGTGTTTTGTTGTGTTTGTATAAAAACAATTACAATTTTTTAAAACTTTTTCTAACAATCAGAAAAAACAAAAACATCTAAACATCTCTTTAATTAAATATAAAAAAATAAATACCAGCAATAAGAGTCGTACAGACAGAGAACACTAGATATGACAGAGCAAGATGATTCCCAAACAGCTTTAAATGGATGACCTGAGGCTGACACTGAATCAGCTGATAGATGAATGGCACACGCTGCCCAATATGCTCAGCTTCAAAGACCGCCTGGAGCAGCACTGACTATTTATGTTCACATTTCACTTAGAAATACAATAAAGTAAATGATTTAAGCTCACAAAATGATATATTTACAAAATACAAGAAATTTGATTACCAGGGCTAAAATGGTAATCCGCAAAATGCCCGTTCAAACTGGAGAAGATGCAGACTGAGCAGAAGCAATCAGTCTAAGTTATACGGTAGTTAAATCTTTGTTCTATGTGTTTTCTGTAAAATTATCCAGTGTTTTAATGGTGTGCTTGGGAGTAGGGGTGGAACGGTTCACAAAATCCACGGTTCGGTTCGGTTCAAGGTTTCGTGGTCACAGTTTTCGGTTTGGTTCGGTATACCTTTATTGTTACACCGAAAAATAAAAAAATTAATAAAAATTACAAAAATTAATGAAAAAATCCCAAAAAATTTATGAATTGTAATTATTTTTAATGATCCGCAGAAACCCTGGATCATTTCTGCATGTTTTGCTGCTTTGTATTTAATCATCTCGCGCATGCCCTCTACAATCTCCAAGGGACTCAGAGCGTGGTGGATGGGAGCCACAGCTGAGGCTGTAGGCTTTGCTTTGTGCAGGCGGTATGGAGCGCAGCGGAGCGCTGACGGAGTATGAGGGATTTCGGGGTTAGCATAACATGTTGGTCATGTTGCTGTTAGCATAAACAAAATGTGTTGCACAATGCTTGCACACTGTTGAACTTTTATCCACATCTTTCTTTCTGCCGTCATCGTAGGTCACTCTAAATGCAAAGTGGTCCCATACAGCAGACCTATAAAGTGCTGCTGGCGCGTCTTCCAACTCCTGTTCTTTCCCACTCGCCATACCCACACAATTCTCCACAACAACTGATTTTTTTCTGCTACACTCGGCTACGTTGCTTCGCTTCTTCTTCTTGCTTACTACTGGTGGTTGGCTTTGGTCGCAGTACCGCCACCTTCTGCTCTGGAGTGTAATCGCTTCGCCTATGAGGAAAAAGGAGCAGCGCATGAACCGAACGCAACACACGCGAACCGAACCAAGATAGTCGAACCGAACGGTTCAGACGGTTTTCACAAACCGTTCCATCCCTACTTGGGATGGATGATAGTCTTTAGATTTTCTGCTGATTCAGGGATTGTTACATTGGACTTTTGAGGTCTAATGCGGGATCCATATTTCTGTTTTCAGCAGGGATAACTGTTAAGAAACTTAAAACAGATAAGCTACTTGGGCTCCAGGACTGCACACAAAATGAAGGAAATAAGCAGCTAAATCTAAAAAAAAGAAAATCATCACAAAGTTTAAACTACTGATTATTATAGAGGAGTAAAAGACATGCTGGCTCACTGGAAGTAAATCATCAAATATAATCCATATTTTAAAAATTAAAATTTTACATTTAGAGACGTAAAAAACAATCAAGCCCTACCTCATTTTGCTTGCTATACGACACCCACATCTCATTCAGCTCCTTTTGCAGCTGTGCTTGGTAACGATCACAAAACTCCTGTCCTCCCATTTTCTTGGTGGAAGCAAAAGCATGAATGGCTTCTCCATGGAAAAAGTTATGCTTCTCCTCCAAAGTCTCTGGAGCCACATAGGGCAGATCTCCTCCACAGATCTAAGGAGGGAGCCAAGCGGAGGCAGAAGGATAAGCAAACAAACACCAACATTTATTCTATATAGTCACATGTTTTGGATTCTAATGAAACAGAAAAAGGAAATATTCATGTTTGGGTTTCATGCATGGGAACAAACTCACCCTCTCCATATTTTTCTGATACTGATCTTTAGCTGCTGCCACAGCTGCCAGGTTATTAGCCTCTGCTGTAGCCTGGTAATTAAAAACACATGTTGCTCATAGTGAAGTAAATCAGAAGTCAAAACAACCTTAGATTATACTGAGAACTCCTACCATGAGCATGGTCTTTGGTTGAGGTAAATCTTCTCCTTGGTAGATCTTAATGTAGGCCTTGAAGAATGAAACAAGTCAGACTAAGTTGGACTGACAAGGATTCAGCCGAGATGCAAAGATCAGGAGGATCTTACCTTGAAGAACTCCAGCAGGCCTCTGCAGGTGACTTTATTCCCGTTTATTTCCTTTTCAGACAAGTTGTCTGGATGCAGCAGTTTAGGAATCAGAGACCGAAGCTGCTCTTTGAACTCAGGGGCAACGTCTGACAACAAAAAAACAGGTTTGCATTAAAACCTGAACGCACCATCAGCACACACAAAACTAAAGGAGAATCTGAGACTTACCACAGAGTTGCCCCCGAAAAGCAGGGTTGGTGGCGACCTTCAGCCCAGGGTGGGGCAACAAGAAGCAGGAGATCTTGGTGAAACATGAATGGATGTGTTCCCTTACTGTCTGCAGCTCCTCATGTTGGGCCTCTTTGACCTAAAAAAAAAAATCAACACAGGCAGCATTGTACAACTTTATGGTAGTTTAATAAAAAAACATTTCAAAATTAAAAAGCTATAAACTGGTACCTGTAACCGTTTATCCAGAAATTCACTGCCGCCTCTAAAACCGTAGCCGTATTCGTAGGGAAAGCTCCAGTCTCTGACTAGAAACATCAGAGACTGAAGGGTAAGCAGGACCGTGTTTATGTGAAAAAAAGATAAATATTTAGTATAAATTCACACAAACATTAGAAGGCATAAACAATGTCACAGAAAATGGGATTTGTGGTACCTGAAAAGGCTTCTGGAAAATCTCATCCATGGCCAGACGACCATACTCTGTGAACAGCTGCATGGAGAAAACACCGAAATCAAGTTTAAGATTTAGTTTTTATACTTTATTCCAAGATTACTGAGTATTTGAAACATCAGCATTTTTATTTAATCTTTCTACACTACCGACTCTGAGTCAGTTCTAAAATCTTATACAGACAGGAAACTCAATAAAATAGAATTACATCGAGATTATTTCAGTAAGTCGCTTTAAACCGTGAAGCTCATATTAACCAGTAGTCATATTCATATAACTCTGATGAATGCTAACAACAATTGAAAACCCATTCAGTTTCTGAAAATATGTTTTTTAGACCAATAAAAAGGATTTTAACACAAGTGTGAGCTAAAATGATTTAATCATTACTCGGTTACTTCTTTAAGAATTACTGCATCACTGTGGGGGCGTGGAGGTCACCAGCTGAGACTTCAAGAAGAAGAAGGTACCTTTGACCTATTAAGTCAGGTGAGTTGGCTGGTTAATTGTGAACGGTGTCATCAGGCTTATTAAGGTAGGTATTGGTACTTTAATCAAAGCAGCAGATGCAGAGATGATCTAAATATGTCTGCGTCTGCTGGCTGTTACAGTTTTGCATCAGTTTTCCCTCCGCTAAAGCAACCTGAACAGCTACTATCTTTGCTGTGCTTCACTCTCCTCGTGGAGGAGAACAACAGTCAGTTCAACAGTCTTTCCTGTGGCTGTAATATTCGAACATGTATTAAAACACTTTTTGTCTTTGTAAAACAATTTCATGTAAAACTTTCTGACAACATTCTGGGGTTTTCATTAGTGTTGCGCCAATGCCATTTTTTTTGGCCCCAATAACGATACCTGGCTGTGCAGTATTGGCTGATACCGATACCATCTGGTTGAAATTGATGTGTGTGTGTAGATGAAGAACTCTATACTACTTGGATGTAAAATAATTGCCATCATGGCTTTTTCAAGCTGCTGCGGTATCGGTGCAACACTAGTTTTCATTAGCTATAAGCCACAGTATTTCATTTTTTATATCAACCAAACCATTAAAAATATCTACATATTAACAATGAGTCCAGGGGAAAAAAAAAAAAAAAAAGAAGATGGGGTATCTTTTCCAGAGTCAGGAAAAGATACCCCACAATATTTCCCTGTCCTGTTCTCACATCCATCTACCACATTTGTTCGTCTTAATTTATTCATCAACTGATCCCTCTATGGTTAAGTTTACACTACAGGTCTTGATGCTCAATTCCGATTTTTTTGTGAAATCTGATTTTTTTGCATTACCGTTCATATTTCCAAATATATGCGACTTGTATGTGATCTCCTGTGTGAGCTGCAGTCATACAATGCAAGTGTCCCGCATGTGTAGTAGAGGATGCAATGACGTCACAGGCCAGCATGCTCTTTTTTCTCTGGAAGTAAACATGGATGGTAGTGCCGGCGCGCATCTAGCGGTCTTTTCCAACCATAAAAACACAATCTTTCCAATATGTTTAAACATAAGTACTGCTCTCCGCATCATCATCTGCCATGGTTGCTGTTTTTCTTGCCGCTTCTGCCAAGCAAGACTCATAATAGTGACCTTTGTCAGGTAATAATGGCGTTCAGGTCGTATGAATGTGACCTGGCCGTTCACACACAGGTCGCATTTGAAAAGATCAGATTCGTATCGGATTCAGGACCACATAGTCCTGATCTCTAAGCTAAGTGGCCTGGGTCGCATTGGAAAAAAATCGGATCTGTGTTGTTTAGACAGCCATGAAAAGATCAGATCCAGGTCGCATATGGGCAAAAAAAATCGGATTTGGGTCACTTCAGGCTGCGGTGTGAACGTAGCCTATTTTCTAACGATCTTTTCTTTAAATCTTTCCTATTCTTCCTCACGTATTGTGTTACTGAAAGCTGAACTTATTAAATACATATTTGCTCTAAATGTATTAAAATGAGTCTTGAAACCCTTGAAAATCACAACATCTGAGCTTGGAGGACTTTGGGCAGAAATCCCATTAGAGTAAAACTTGGATTTCCTTCAATACCAGGAAGAAATTAAATATAATATTTAAATACATGTGTTTGATTAAGTCTTTACTATGACAGCAAGGTCTTTAAAACAAAAACAAAGCCCAGAAAATAAAAGGAAACTGAACCTTAACAACATCCTAAACTACGGAGTCAAACGTCCTATTTTTCTCATGTTTCAGTGACTGTAGAATAACAATCTCATTCAATGACAAGAAGCCGAAAATGTTGGTTAACTTCCCACCTTCTTGATTCAAACCAGACCTAATACTCAGATGCCGGTGGAATGGCAGTTAGATATGCAAAGCTAATAAACAACAGTCCTACTATAACCAGAAACAGGTGAAGATAGAAAAACAGACACTAAATCAAACAGATACAGCTCTAAAGTTAAGTTAAAACAAAAGAATAAAAAAACCACAATAAGGTTGTCAAACCAACCTGTAGCTGCTGCAGGTCGTCCTCTTGGATGTTCTGTGAGAGATTGTAGATCTACAAAACCAGATAGCATGTCAGAGTACTGAACGATGACAAACTAATCAGTGGCAAACAAAGTAGAATATCTACCTGAACTGAGCTGGTCATGGTGCTGAGGGCGAATATGGTGGCGCAGTCCTTCACTGTGGACTGGTCATCAAAGGCTCCCTGAGTGTCCATCAACACAACCGCCACCTACAGGAGACAGGAAGCATAGCAAGTAATCCTGTTATCACTTTCATAAGGGTGGATTAAATAAATTTTGTATGTATCGTCAATCTGGATTATCAAAAATTAACTTTTTGCTGCATAAGAATTAATTTTAAGATTTAAAAACTGCATTTGAAGTAAAATAAGGATGTGCTAAATATCCTGAATTTATTTCATAGTCTCTGCACATCTGTAGATTCCTCAGATTACCAACAAAAAAAAAAGACAGTTTTCTTGTGAGGTTTTGTTTTAAACAACCAAGTAAAAAAGAAGTGTAATTTTATAGGTCAAATGAGAGGTGTTCAACTCAATGTGGTACTGCGGGGTAGTTTAGTCTAAACTAAATCAGTCTGCAGTACTGCTTAAACATTACTTTTACTCAAGTAAGTTTGCACTCAGACCTGATAACAGGAGTTAATTTATTTTTATGTATATTTTCAAGCAGAAATAAGTTCTGAAACATTTGGGGGTTAACATTTTAAATGTTTTTCATCACGCCTCTAGCTCCCCATTTGGTTTTAATACATTTTTCAGCACCCTTAAACCGTCTGTGCTGGGTGGCATTAATAGTTGCAGGTAGTCTAGATGAACTAAAGTGTTGCATTGACTGCAGCAAAATACAGGGAGGGCAGACAAACAGCGAGTCTAAACAATGCAAATAACTTAAAAAATCAACACACGTTCAAAACAAAGCAGTTAAACAAAACCCCAAACTAAAGAGACTTTAGTTTAAAATTGCAATAACAGGCAGCAGAAACCAGATGAAAGTAAGAAAAGGTGCAGACTCATCTAGTCACAACAGCATTTCTCTAAAGGGTGGGGGTAACATTTTGTATTTTCAACCTCTGCTTTCCAGTATGAAAAAGGAACCATTTTCCACAGGATGTTTTTAACAACAATACTTGATTTAAAATTTCATAACCACTTATACCTGATTTAACATTCGCTCCTATAATTAGTCTACTGTCCAGCAAAGTAAATCCATCTAAAGGGGATCAGTTATTTTGCTTTAAGAAGGGGTCAAATCTGTCACATTTAATGAGAAAAAATATTGATTACAAAATAACATAAGTTGAAATTTATTCTGAGATCTATTGTTGCTTCTCCCCACAAAGAACATGTATACTGAACAGCATAAGAACATCCTTCATAGTAGCTAGTATTTCTGTACTAATAATTAAATATGAAATCATTCTATCAGTCTAATATTTAACATTTGTGAAAAATCTGATGTTTGGTTTTTATCAGCCTCAGGCCATAAACACTGAACTTTAATCTGTGTCATAAATGTATAGAATAGTTGCTTTTATTGTACAAATGTATTATGTAATATGACTTAGACTACTTTTATTGAATAATATAATCTTAAAGTGAGAACTGCTCTGTTGGTTACTGATATAAGTAAAGGAGTGTGTACAGCAGGGGTCCGCACCTCTGTTCCATCGCTCTTTCGAACTGTGAAAACTTTGCTCCACAGCTGGATGCCTGTCGTCTCCGGCTCGGAACCTCCTCTCCAAGAAAATCCAGTCAGTTCCTCCTCATCATTACCCAACCAGTTGTTGTCACTCTGCAAAAAGTCACACCATAAATACCAAAGGTAAAAGAAAAAACAAGAACAGAATTAATCAAATATATTAGTATAAATCTGCAGCTTAAAGAGCAGAAAGATTTCTCATTTTCTTTCTCCACCGTTTTCTTTCAGCTCCAGCCATTATTAAACCCTAAGCTATAAATAGACATTCTTATTGTTTTACTACCAACAAAGTGGAGTGCAGAGCTTTCAGGTTCCAATTAACTCCCCACTTTCCGGCTTGTTTTAGAGTGGAGATGTAATGGAAGCCACAATTATTGTAATGAGGAGAAAAGGAAAAATCAATAGTTCCTATCTGTGGTGATCTCTAAGTGATGTTTGCTAATCATATACAAACAAACAGAGAAAGCAGTACAGGTTAAACTCTGAAATACAGAAACAAAAATCTCAATTATTTCTTTCTGGCAAACAAGTTTGTTCACATGTTAGAGCAGAGCAGGGCGTTCACTGTTCATGGATGCGTTCATCCCATGTCAGCTCGTCAACACTTTCCCAAATCTGGAGAAACCAGTCAGAGTCAGAACACCAGTCTAAAGAGATCTGATGCCCATCAACTGAGCCTCACCCTTCTGTGCATGTAGCGGAGCATGAAGTCCAGCAAAAAGCTTTTCCCCTTTCTGAAAGCTCCGGCCACCGACAGAACCACCACATGTTTGTCTCGGACTTCAGGGGCCAGCAGGATCTGAGATAAAGCCTCTGTGTCCAAAGTGAAGGAGTGATCGTCCTTATTTACGTCCACGATCTGAACTGGGTGTGCTTCACTCCCCATTCTGCAAGTAAAAAAAAAAAAAATAATCAGCTAGATTGCTTTAAAGTTATTCATCAATTAAGCCCTTATAATCACCACACAGAAACAGAGTCTAAAGACTCAATTATGTTTGGTATCAACTCTCTTAATATATTAAATATTTTCTTTTTGCTTAATTTTTTTACCAAAATGTAGGTAATGAGTTTCTAGGCTATATGTTAAACAGTCTGTAGATTGATCAATACAAATATTTAAACATTTTATGCAACTGTATGACATGAAACCCCCCCCCCCAAAAAAACAAACAAAAAAAACAAAACACACAATGCTGTTAAAATCAGCTTTCTTCTCTTACATGCAGTTTGTTCTTTTAACATTTCAAAGTTGTCTTTGCTTTCTGATGCTTTCTTAGATCTTAGCTGCTGTCTCAGTCAAACGGTATCCTAACTTATATATGCATCTGTACAAGGGCTGGTTAAAAAAAATCGATTTTAATCGAGTTTGAATCGATTCCTTTACATTTTTGCAAAATCGATGTCTAGGGAATGAGGTCGATTCATTTTATAGTGACACACATGACGTTCACATTCAAAGCAAGAAGGGTGCACACAAGATTACTTCAAGCCAGACAGCTGCAAATATACCCAATAGGTTGACTGAAGACATTAACAAATGGGGGCTGACCAGCAAACATCCTGTAGTTGTTACAGACAACGCTGCAAATATGGTTTGTGCAGTGGAGATAATGCAGCTCATGCATGTCTGGTGTGTCACGTCTGCTTGCCCGAGTGAAGCCTCACTTTTTCACTTTTCACAAACAAGTTTGCACTTTTTAGACAGTTTTGTTTACATCTCATGTTTAAACTGTCTGATCTACAAGTTTGCACTTTGTGTTGAACGTGACAGGAAAAAACAAAATATATTAGTATTTTGAAATACAGTTGAACCACTTTCATTGTAAAAACAGACCGAATCGAAATTAATCGATTTAGAACTGCATGAATCAAAATCGAATCGATTCAGAACTTCGGCGAAAATACCCAGCCCTAATCTGTACTACCTTTAAATAGCTAAATAAGACATATGATACGGCTGGAGGGACTAAAAATGGCAAAGTTAATGAGTTATGCAACTGGTATCATCACACAGAAGGAAAAATGCAATGTTTAGTTGATATAGAAGAAACAGACAAATGAGATTTTTCTCCTTTCTAATACAGATTTAAAGACAGTAAGTCTCAAAAAGCTATTATTCGATTTTTTTTCACCCAATTTTTATAATAAAAATGGAAAAATACATATATTGCTTTCAAAAACTAGGGATGTTTTCAATAATCCCCCCTGGGACGTGACCTTAATTTCAAGGGTGACTTCATTTAATTTGTGAACTGCTAGTGAAATAATTATGTTTCACAATAAACAATAAAAATACAATAAGCTAAATGTTTGCAGCTGGTTGTAACACAGAGAGCTAGTTGATTAGTAGTAGGTACACATCTAAGAACTAAAAAATTATGAACTGACATCAGTTTGAGCTTTAGAAGCCAAAGGAGTGGAGTTTAAAAAAATATTCAGAGTTCCCCAAAGAATAAATCTTCATACACAAAAAAAAATTGCTTAATAAATCAAATCAATTAGTCACCCAGTCTTAGTAAGACCTGTTGATTCTGGTTGTGATCAGAGGTGTCAAGTAACGAAGTATAAATACTTTGTTACTGTACTTAAGTACACTTTTTAGGTATCTATACTTTACTCCATTACTTGTTTTTCTTCCTACTTCTGACTTCTACTCATTA